CAAGTGTCTTAGCCACTATGCTACCAGAGCTCCTATATAGACCAATAAATGAAGAAGGAAATGAAAACCACTGTCAAAGGCACTGTTGTTGTTAGGTGCCACTGAGTCAGTGTGAGGCCCGTGTTGGAATCACTAGCCTTTCTGTTAGTGGCCCAGTGCTTACCCATTTGCACCACTCAGGGACCCCTTCCTCCTCCAAACCATCTGATTGTTCACAGTGAATATATTACAAACAAGTTTTTCTGTTTTATAAACTTATAAATGTGATCTTGTTGAACCACAAAATGTAATAAAATGACAAACCAGTGTCATTTATTAATATAGATATTAAGATGTAAATAAAATAGTCACTCACTCACTCACTATCGTCGATTCAGATCCAACTGACAGCGACCCCTCCTTGGGTTTCTGAGGCAGTAGCACTACGGAAGTAGATCGGCCAACCTTCCTTCTGAGGAGTGGCTGGTGGGTTTGAAGTGCCAGCCTTCTGGTTAGCAGTCAGATGCTTTAGGCACTACACCACCAGAGCTCCTCAAATAATAGTAGCATATAAAAATAATTTCATAACATAGGAGATCTGGTAAGGTGAGGAATCAGTACAGCATTGCATGGGGGAATAGCTCAGATTCTGTAGTAAAATTACTTGAATTTGATTTGTCTTTATGTCACTTACTTGCTACAGGTAATCTGACAAGGTCTTTAACCCCTCAGTGTCTCAGACAGTATATTTTTAGAATGTACATTAAAAATATATACCTCTTAGATGTGATGTGGGTATTAAATGAGACAATACTTGTGGAGCTCTGAAAACAGCACCTGGAACCTACTAATATATAACTTGTTAGTACTTATTAGTTGTGAAGTAATTCCACAAAATACTTGTGAATGCTACCACAAAACAGGAAAAATTGATAAAATATAGTGCATTATAACACTAAATGTTCTATGCTCTTATGTATGAATAGTAAAGAAGTATTTCAAAGTAAAACTCTTTAAAATAAGAAGAATAGGTAAGGAGAATATAAAATAAAGAATGAAAATTACATGTCTTAAGAAAGCATTAGAGAAATCCCATTTAAAAACAAGATCAAAGTAAAGTGCCTATTGTTGACATATTTAATGCTGAATTGGATATTCTTATTGACAAGGAATAAAAGGAAGTAAAAGTAATTTTCAGAGAAAAATTTAACATTTCATACAGCTTACATACTTGAAAAAAATGATAAGAAATGTGAACAATATAATAAGAATTATCTAGGAATTCCATTAACAAAAATAAACAAGAATAGGAAATATTCAAAGATCAACTTCATTTAACTTAATTAAGACCTTTAAGTGGAACTATAAAATTTTACATAAATAATAAAATAGAAAGAGAAGTATTTCTGGCATGTGGACATTATATTCCTTTCTAGATAATGCATTTGTACCTAAATGCCAACAGAATATCTTTGTAAATATTATAAAATAATTTAAAATAAATATTGGATAAATAATGGATAAAACTTTCCAAAATAACCTGAATATCAACAATGGGAATGTAGAATGATGGAAGGAATGTGAATTCTATCATTACAGAACATAATATAAAAACAATTCCCATCAGAAAAATATTTTCATACTTTTATTTTCTGTCACTTTGAAAATAAACTATGAATTGGAGATTCCTAGGTCATGTTGTTCACTGAGAATTCTCCCATTTCCTTTCCAGCCCCTTCCAGTGTTCTCTTTACCCGGCAACAGAGAATGTCAGCTCTATAAATTCTCTCATTGGTTGAACCTAGCTAAGCTGTTTCCTCTACACCCCTTTTGGCTAATTTAGAGTAATACAAGTCAATAATTGCAGAGCTCTTGCCACCTAGCCCCAGTTCCTCATCTCTGTTCCTGTGCTTAGAGTGGTCCTTATAGACCTCACATCGTGCACCCTGAAGAGAGCATGTTCCAGATCAAAGATGTGATCCTGAGAGCCCTGGCTCTTGTTTCCCTGCTGAGTCTCCAAAGAGCTGGGGCCATCAAGGGTGAGTGCCCAGGAGAAGGAGAGAGCAGGGGAGTGAGGATGGGGGCAGGCTACCCTGTTGCTTTAGAAATGAGAGATTTCTGGAATTCATTGATCTGTTTTCCTCTCTGTCTCTTATCTCTCGTCTTCATTCTGTTGAATGAGGTCTCCCTTTTTTCCTTTTTGCTCTAATGATAATAATTAATAATAATAAACCTCTGTGTGTCGGGTTGTCTGGTTAGCAGTAATACAAGCCTTAGGCACTACACCACCAGAGCACCCAATAATAGCAGCCACTTTTCACTAGGTGGCTACTTAGTACCTTTCCTCAGACTCACAAGAATCTTCAAAGAAGATATTACCTCTATTTTAAAGATAAAAAATGGAAGCTCAAAAGAAGAATACATTCTACGAGGTTACAGACCAAGTCAAAGAGCCAAGGTTGAAACCAGACCCAATTCTGATGATCACACCCTTTGTGCTCCTCAGACTTCTGCATCCAGTGACTTTCTTAACTGAACCTTTCAGGGATCCTGTGTTCCTTATAACTCTCCTGGATCCCTAGCCTCTGTTTCTTGCAAACTATGAGGGACTCTGAGCTGAGTGCTCTTGTGTTGGGATCTAAGAAAGAAAGCATTAAGAGTGACCCTGTGTTCCTCTTTCTCTCCCAGGATCCCAGGACCTTCCCAGGATCTTTGTGGATGGTTCAAATGCTTTCTTCTCCCATGATAGTTGTGTTTCTTTGTTTTTGTTAACCTGTGATTCAAGTGCTGAGTAAACCAGAGGGTTATTGCTGCAATGGGAG